TTTTGAACGTGTCTCTACAAATGCAATGACCTGGCCTTTGACTCGTCTGAAGATGTTTAATGAGGGTAAAGTTTATAACGTGATTCCCAACCTTTTTGTTATATTATGAAATCTGTATGTGTGAACTGCATAAGGATCTGATAGTATTGATAAGGTATCTTGTCAAAACAATCCTGCTCTCTCCCCCCAATGCACTAATGGAAGGAGGAAAAGCTTGCTGATTTGTAACGAGGGTATTCTACTTTACTTATTGAAAACTTCAGTTATAATGTAGCACAGTAATAACATTGTAATGTTAACTATGATCACAACTTATTGTCTAAAGAGCATATATTTATGTGAGCCACTTTGTCTGACTGTAAATTAAAACACCATGTAAACCGTGATTATATTCTCATAAACAAAACATAGAAAAGAAGAAATTGATAAATGTGGGATTTATAAAATTCCTTAAATAACCTGTACATCTCCAGCATCTTTCGTACAGTTATCCATCTCAAAAATCTTAATACAAACTGAAAATTTTTCTTACTCCTTCGATCCAATCTACTAACATTTCCCCCATTAAATCCTGCAGTAACATCCTCAAACCGTGACCCTATTTAACCTTCTTTAAATATATGTGTGAGCCAACTTCCACTACTCAATCACCTAGCAGTTCACAAATAAAACCTTTAAAACTTTAGGATAAAACTTGTCAGGGGACTTGTCAATTTGTACCTTTCCCATACATTAATGATTCTATCTTCCTCCGTAAAAACTTCACGACTATATCCCAGATTCGTTATTGTTTGATTTACCTCTCTCGGCCAATCCTCTTTTTTATACGGTTTTTGCCCTTTTAACTTCCTTTTTAACCATCTCTTAAATCTTTACTAAACCATACTGGTCCTTATTTCATGCCCTTTTCTTTCTCTACCAAATATGTGTGTACATCAATTTGTCCCTAAATGCTTCCCAACTCTATAGACCCATCATTTCATTGAAATCAGGATACACGTAGTAAAATCCAAAGCCTAATAGTGCAATGATCGCTTCTACATAAATGCTAATATTAAATCTAATATTTTCAATCACCAGTTGGTTCATAAAAGTATCCAAAAACCCTCAAAATCCCAAGATAACTTCAACATTTCTCACCTGGTGGTCTACAACAAATCCCAATTATTCTCCCTTTATATCCACTAACCTTACCTAGGTGCTGTATTCTTTAACACGACACAAGTTCACTCCTCTCCCTGTTTTCCAAATCTCTAGTAAATAATCTAAACCTGCTTTGAACTCCTCAATTTTATTTCTAATACTCCTGACAGTACAGTGGTAATATAGATTATATTTCCTGTTTTTCTAATCTCGTAACCCTCCAGCTCTGTCTTGACCCAGTTTAAATCTACCACTACAGCTGAAGTTTAGAGTTTACTCCATCCTGAACATCTTTCATTTGTGTCATTCAAAACCTCCATTTATAAATAACATGTTTGACTCTACTTTTGTTTTATAGAAGATGGCCATTGTTTCTATGGATACAAATTTTTACCCAAATGCTCTTTATGAATCTTGTACATTTCATTAATCCTCAAACTAAACTAGCTTAAACTTTACAACACTTATAATATTGGATTGGCTATTATTTTAAAGTTTAATTCTTGTTTTTCTAATATGACACCCTAACTACCTTTAAATCACATTAGTAGCTGGGAAAGTAGAGTTTCTACCTATCCAATGTGCAAAGTAAATTTCATCTTAACATTAAAATTACTTTTATGCAAAATCTTTATAATTAATCTCTGGATTATGCCTCTTGTTTGATAATGACAAGAAATTATATCAAATATTTAACACGTGTGTTTCACTAGACTAGTATTGTGTAAGAAACAGTTGCATTTCAATTATTATATATTAATACTATTAACAATTATCTCTTCTAGTTATGACCTTTCTAGTCTGTTTACATTTTACTTAAAAATTTTGATAACCAAACAACCTTTAAAAACTTCTGCTATAATTTACAAAGTTTAATAACTGAGCTCTTCTCGGACTAAAAACACAATCTACCTCCTTGTAGTATTGGGAATGGCCCGAGAAAGCCACTAGCAGAAAATTCTGAGCTATTGATTACTTGTACAGTTAAGTACATAAGGAACTGCTTCCAGAGATGGAAAGATGTGATTCTGTAAGTGAGTGATATCTCGGTAAATAGAAAATATAGCAGGTTCTTAATATCGGTAATTTCAGTTCCTAATTTGTACACTCATTATTTTGACTGTTTGTACTACAATTTGATACCAAACTTACCAACGTAAATTCCTGAAATCGTAGTTCGATAAAATTTTGAACGTGTCTCTACAAATGCAAATGACCTGGCCTTTGACTTGTCTGAAGACGTTTGACGAGGGTAAAGTTTACAATGTGATACGGTTTTTGCCCTTTTAACTTCCTTTTTAACCATCTCTCAAATCTTTACTAAACCATACTGGTCCTTATTCCATGCCCTTTTCTTTCTCTACCAAATATGTGTGTACATCAATTTGTCCCTAAATGCTTCCCAACTCTATAGTCCCATCATTCCATTCAAGTCAGGATACACGTAGTAAAATCCAAAGCCTAATAGTGCAATGATCACTTCTACTTAAATGCTAATATTAAATCTAATATCTTCCATCACCAGTTGGTTCATAAAAGTATCCAAAAATCCCACGATAACAATGTTGTTCAAATCTCGTTAACTTCAACAAATCCCAATTACAAGGCTTTTATCCCTTTATATCCACTAACCTTACCTAGGTGCTCTATTCTTTAACACGACACAAGTTCACTCCTCTCCCTCTTTTCCAAATCTCTAGTAAATAATCTGAACCTGCTTTGAACTCGTCAATTTTATTTCTAATACTCCTGACAGTACAGTGGTAATATAGATTATATTTCCTGTTTTTCTAATCTCCTAACCCTCCAACTCTGTCTTGACCCAGTTTAAATCTACCACTACAGCTGAAGTAATAGCCACTGCCTTGTTTAAATTTTCCCATTAAAATCCTCCAACTGGCCTACTTATCCAACCCCACAATTTATTCTTGCCAACATCCTTAACAAAAACTGCATTGCTACTAGCAACCTTACCTATCTCGATGGTTCTATCCCTCCTCATCCATAGCATAACCCTATTCAAAGGTCTAACTAAGAGAGTCATCTACAACTATGACTTCACTGTCCTTCATCATCCCACTTTCTTTTGCTTACATTCTTGGAACTGGTCGCTTAACCTAAACCCAAGTCCATCCTTGC